CTTGTTAAGTGGCATGGTTTGCCAGAGCACGAAGCAACATGGGAGTTGGAGCGAACAATCAAACACGTTGCGCATTTCAAGAAGTTTGTACAAGACGTACGCCAGAAGGGGCGAGAGACCAAGGCGACGTCAGGGGGAGAATGTAGCGACCAAAGGATCAAACTAATGATGTCGCGACGACGAGTGTGCGTGGTCTGTAGAAGTCGGCAGCTAGCCGCACCCGCACCCGCGACACGGTCGCGTGAGTACTGCATAGCGATCTTTAGCTAGAACGATTTAACGATGACAATTGAATCACTTCCAAATTTCCTCTGCGCTATCAACTCCCTACACAAACAATGTCCGAAGTGGCAAAATGAAATTGGACATTCACTTGTACGAGACAATTCCAAACCCACGAAAATAAGCCTCGTTGAAACAACGGGTGTTGTTAGCGGAAATGTTCAAAGTGGCATTTTCGCGGTGTGTACCTGACGGCTCTGAATATTGACACCGCTAGAACGTAAAGCTGTGTTTTCTGCATGATAAAACGGAGGCTCGACCTCATTGAATGCAAGAACGGTCGGATTTCCAAATATTTTCAATCAACCCCAGCAAAATGTCATGGAGCTAAAATGTGTAAAATATTTGATTGGTTAGAAATTCTCCAATCAGGAGCGCGTGTGTGGCTGGGATTGAAAAGTACATCGAGCATGCGAAGGAATGGAGTCGAGATCATCGAGCTCCTGTCGACTTCGTCCGAAGAAGAGGACGAAGGCACGGGGATAGAACGCTCAGTGGAGTGTTTAGAGGGCAGTGCCCGGTGCTTTGGCTCCTCCAGCAGTGCCGTCAGTCGGGCGGATTCCCATACACACACCCAAGGGGCCAACGGAGCGCAACGGACTTCACGACTTGAGCCGCCAGCTCTCAACATCGTACCCAGCAAGAAGAAGAACCAACTGAATCCCAACGACTCGCACTTGAGTTCACACAGACTTCGGCGTCGACGTCGACTGGAACATTTACCAAGCCCTCAAAAATCCCCTCCAAACGCGCCTTTGCAACTTGAACAATGCCCTTCGTCAAATGCACTTCCGTCTATCAACCAAAGGACACCGTCACCACAATGCAGCCTTCAATCTCCCCATGCTGAATACACGTCCCAGACATGGCACTTCGGGGAACCAACTCCACCCACTGTTCCGCAATCAATGGCGCTGGTCCCGTCCTCCTTTGATCCGGAAGACGCGTTCGTTCAACTTGTTCGAGTGGCCCATAGCCTACAATCCGAATGCTCAGACTACACGTACCTTCATCCAACCTTCACAGTTCCATCAGAGGCGCCATGGCCGGTGGAATGGGCAGGCCGGGATGTCGATGTGTCGGCATTCCGTGAAGCGTACTGCGTGGGACAATTGCGCGCAGAGACCGTCGCGCAGCTCTCTGCACTTCGGTTTGTCTGGGACGACGATCTCGAAGCGCTCAAGTGGAAGGTGCACCTAGGTGCACTGTTCACGTACAAGATTCTATACGGCAATGTTGCGATACCGCCATCGTTTCATATTCCAGTCACAGCAGCGGCGGCGGACCCGCCATGGTCCAAGGATATTCGGCGCAGTGAGCTGCACCTCGGTGCCATCGCCCACGCTTTACGGCTGAACCGTTCCACCATGCCCGAGCTTCAACGTGATCAACTGGACCACATGGGGTTTGTGTGGGACCTGGCCGACGTGGAATGGGCAATTCGACTCGCTGCTTTGACAGCATTCAAGCATATCCATGGCCATTTGCACGTGCCGACGACGTTTGTTGTGCCCGACGGCGACCCAGCCTGGCCTGCACCTACGTTCAACCTACCGCTTGGGTGGGTCGTCGTGTCGCTTCGACTGAAAAAGAACTCGCTAGCGTCGGACCGAGTGCAGTTGCTGACGAAGCTCGGGTTTGTTTTCAAACCGTGGCGAGTAGTTCACGCGCCGCCGCAACGACGCCAGGAGCCTGCACGCCAACGTGTGCCGCTTGGTTCGCGTCCTTCTCCTCCGGCACCACAGCGCATCATGCCGAATCCCCCACCCATTCCATTGAATCCGATTCAAAATCCTGGAACAGGTATTCCGAGGCTGGTGGTGTCGCCCCACGCGTCAACAGGACTGCCCTCGGAACAGCGTCGACGTCCCGTTGTGACCAGGTACTGCACCGTGGATGCAGACCTGCATTACCTCGGCGCATATGCATCGCCACGATTCCCAATGTTTCAAACGAGGGCTTTGCCAACGACGGTCGAGTGGACCGACTACGGCGAAGTACGGCATGTGGCATCTCGTCCGTGAGTCTCATCTGAAGGTAGGGTGTGCGGGGGGAAGTGGGCTGGTCAGCGTGGCCCTCGTAGTCACAGCTTGCCGCGATGCCAAAAGCAAAAATCGACTCGTGCTTGCTACGAGAACGCGCGATGGCATATGATTCGTGACAAGATGGTTGGACTCTTGTCCTGCGCATGCTGCTGCCATCGCGAAACTCGCATGCTGCTCGCTCCGTGGACTCGAGCGCTGGAATACTAGAATTCGATGGATCGCATGGCACGTGGGAGATGCCATGGTATCCATGCAACGCATGAATCGAGACTCGCAAGTGTCGGCAGTGTGCAGTAGCGTTGTGCGGCCACAAACGAGTGCGAGAAGGCGACCCCGTTGACCACGATGCAGGCGTCGACCCGCAACGTCGTCGCCTCAAATATGTTAGCTCCACCGTTCAATTACGCACCGTCGTACAAGTCGATGGTTGCTCCAACATGCAAGGACGACGATGGGTTGGCGATGGAAACACGTGCAGATGCAGCGCAGACCGAGGCTCGGGTACCTGCCCCATTCACGTCGACGGCAGCGGAGTCGATGACAGTCGGTCATGTCGATATGCCGCCGTGACGGCGTGTTCGCCTTTGGGCAAGATGGTGCGCATGGGTCCGAATTCCAACTGGATGTTGCCGCGCAACTCGGTTGTTCGGATGGCCACAACCGGATAACACCCCAGCACCCCATGGCCGCCGCCGTCAAGCAAGTCGCCGTCACTGCGATCTCGCTCGCTCTGGGCCTGGCTCTGACGGTGCCTTCAGGCCTCGCTCGGTACACGCTCTTGTCGTTTGGAATGAATTGGTTCGTGTGCCTCGTGCATGCCATCCCGAACCAGTCGGAACGGTACTTCGACCTCACCGGGTCAGGCACGTTTCTGACGGTGGCATTCGTGGCAGCCGCGGCAACCTTGTCCAACGGAGCAGGCTTTCTCCATCGGCCGCTCGTCGCATCGGCCATGGTCGCGGTGTGGGCTCTCCGACTTGGCACGTTTCTCTTCTCCCGCATTACGTCCGACCGTGGCATCGACTCTCGGTTCGCACACATTCGATCCGATCCCGTCCGGTTTCTGTCCGTGTGGTCTGTGCAGTCGCTGTGGGTGCTGCTCACGACGTTGCCGATCCTGTTGTTGCATGGCGCAGCGCCGTCCGTGCCGTGGACGACGCTCGACGTGGTGGGAATTGCGCTATGGGCGCTTGGATTTGCCTGTGAAGTCGTTGCCGACGTCCAAAAGACGACTTTTCGAAGGGACAAGGCCAACCACGACAAGTTTATCGCGTCGGGTCTGTGGCGCTACAGTCGCCACCCCAATTACTTTGGTGAAATCACACTGTGGGTCGGCGTCGCTCTCGTGTGCGTCCCGCACTTGCCGACGTTGTCGCAGCAATTGCTTGGCCTCTTGTCGCCGTTGTTCGTTGCCTTTCTGTTGAATTTCGTGTCGGGGATTCCGTTGCTGGAAAAAAAGGCCGACGACAAGTGGGGCACCGTCCCTGCGTACCAACAGTACAAAGCGTCGACGAACGTGTTGGTCCCGTGGTTTCCGGCATCCCCATGAGTCCACACGATGCTCCCCGAGTTGTTCCAGACTCAAATGTAGTGCACAACAACCGACAACTGGATTCGAATGAAAAAATGCCAGCAAGACCGATTTGCAGCGCAGCGGCGGCGGTCGCGGACGGGTGCTCTTGTTGAGCGTCCGACAGTGTCATGTGGTTGCTGCTGGACATGACTCGAATGGAGCGATGGATACGATTTGCAGTGTGCTGCCTGTAGAGCCCGTGTAGAGGACGACGGCGGCGGCATGTTTTCACTTGTGCCCGTACGTGACGTGGCGAACACAGGTGGTTTCGACTGTCACAAAATGTACCTCCGCATGGTCGTCCTGCTGCCAGAGTTGGAGTTCGAACTACACCACGTTCCAGTGTGGAAACGCCAGCATTTCGTCGCCATCGTTCCCCTTTTCGACTTTATCTGGTTGGTTTTGCCACACAATGTCGCGCTGGCCTCCTCCTACGTGGAGGGCTTGCTGCCGACATTGACTTGCATTGCATTCATTTGTTGAATCGGGAGTCGCCAGTTCGACCGGGCAGCTCCCGCGACGAACGTGCTACCACCGCCGGGACTGCATGCAACACACAATGGTCTCGATATTCTGGGGTAGGGGCTACTTGTCTATTTCAACTCTCGGTTTTCCACACAACGATTGCAATACCATGAACCAGGTGGAATGTCGTCGAGCCCGGCACAAAACGAATGGTATGGTCCATCGCACGAGTCGCACATCATGATGGCGTCGCTGTTGGCGTCGGCCCGACAAACGCGGCATGCGTCCTCACTGAGCAATTGGTCCGGCAGCGTTCCTGCAGGGGCGAGGTGGACCCACTCTTCCATGAGCCGGTGAAATATTGACCTGCACGCCACCCGACCTCGTCATTGAAACACAACGGAACGGAAACAAGGCACGACGTACCGCAGTCGCCGAGCCATCGTCGATATTTCGGCTTGGATTGAATTGAACGCAAAACAGTTGGTCCAGATGCGACTCATGTCGACGGGAATGTGCTGCAACCGGTTGTCGTACACACCAGATTGAATCCGCTGCACCATCGTTTGAAGGTCCATGGGCTGGCTCACCACGCGGGGATACTCTGGGAACGCTTCGACGTCGACGGGAACCAAGAACGGCACCGCAACGGCATGTTTCTGCAACGCTTGCAGCACAGCTAGGAATCGATTGCGCAATGTTGGGTCTTTTAGCAACGCGGGCGAAATGCTCGTTTGTTGAGGTTCGTAGCGATATTCCAGGTTTTTGGGCCGCCGGCCTCGATGACTTTTCGGTCGTTTTGCCAGAGGCAGAGCGATTGTGTGTGAAGACGAGGTCGAGTCGGCCTGGGCAATGTCCGACGGCTGACCTGCAGTAGTTTTTGACGACGCTCCTGTCGACGATGGAGGCGTCAAGGCCAAACATTGCTTGTACCAACGCTCCAGGATAAGTGACGGCAATCGAGTCAAACCACAAAGTTCTCCCAGCGTCTACAAGAAAATGAAACAGTGTCATCGCAGTGCAGAAAAGGCACCTGTCGGCAAATTTCGTGTGGAGTTGTTGTCAACGCTAGCCGTAGCTTCTGCTCGGCCAGTCGGTTCAACACAGGGTCGTTGAGACCAGGACATGGCGGCAGCGGGATCTCGTTATCTTCGCTTGCCGTCCGCCTCGTCGCGACTGCAGTGCTGGGCAATTGGCCCGTGAGTTTTCGTTTGTATCCTGCGCTTTGCCGTTGCTTCATCGGCTTGGTATATGTTAAAGCGTCGTCGAGAGCGTACAAGCGCATCGCGATCGACGCGATTGTGGCGGTCGGCACGAGCGTTTTGATTGCAAGCGACGCCTGCGATTTCCACGTTGCATCCAGGTATTCGTTTTCAATGTTGGCTTCCAACACCAACAGCGCTTCCATGAGGGTGCGGCTGCTCGTGGCTTGAACGATCCAGTCTGCCCACCCCGCTCGCAGCGTCACAGTCCACTTGTTGTGTCGAAATGCTTCTCGTGGCAGGGCCGCTTCGATGGCTAGCATCTGTGCCTGTACCAGGGAAAATGCCAGCGACGCAGGCTTTGACGATGCAGTTGTGTCTTTCAAACACTCGGTGGCAAATTCTCCTTGTACACCGGCACCGGGAATGTGCTGAGTCGGCGCAACTACGACCGGCGCCATCGTGTGTGGCACCAAGGTCTCAGGCTTGCGACTCACGCGAGAAGACCGTCGCCCACTGCTCAACGTTTCGGTGACGACCTTTTTGGCCGTTTTCTTGTGCGATCTCGGCAGCTATAAAGTTGGACATAGCGTTACCACACTACGTCAATCGTTCATCGAAAACGTACCTCAGAAACTCGAGTAGATGCGACGACGGGGACCTCGGATCCTGTTGTTGAGACGACAGCAGACGTTGGTTCTCGTGGAGTTGTATTGGCAATTTCCTCGGTACAAGTAGTTGGTCGTTCCGTCGCACTCATGGGGCCAGAACCAACATCACAGGCAGGGTCATTCACAGAGGTTGAAGATGGCGTCGAGGAATCAACTTGACTGACAAAATCAACCGTTGGTAACCCAGACCGATACGCTGATGGAGGGGTGTACAACTGCGGGTCAAAGTACGATTGAATGTCCGGAGTTAGTTGTGATGGCGATGGCACTTGGGTGGAGTTGTTGGAATTTTGAAAGTTTTGCATGAGGGTGTTCATCGTATTGCTCTGGTGCTGGTCTGCATTTGCAACAAACGGCTGAGAGCCCACTCTCTGCATCATTATCATGGGGTTGGCGCCACTGCCGTCCATGGTGGCCGACTGCATGTTGTTGTACATGTTGTAGAACATCGGGTTGCTGGCGTACAAGGCGGCGTTTGCGGCAGCGTGGGCCGACGTCCACATGGACGGATCTGTGCATGGAGGAGAGGGAAACTCGATATTCGCGGGGTGGAAGAGGGTGGTCGGCTGGTTGCTGGGATGACCCATATTCATCATTGACGACACGTTGTACTGGTCGGAGTCTTGGTTTTGCTGCAGTTGCGAAGATGCATCGAGTAAATCGCGCGAAAAATATCTACACAGCAGATGTCATGTACGGACATTCCAAACCGCTGAATGTACCCCATGGTGGCGTTCTCGCTAGCCATTGCATCGTCTGACATGCTGAAGTTGTTGGCGTTTTCGAGTGGGACCCTCACGTCTTGTGACGGATTCTGATTCGAGGTGGGAGGTGCTGACGCAGGCGGTGGTGGCATGGCAGCATTGCTTGGGGTCACTTTGGTGGCCACGGGCGACTGCTTGGTGCGTTTTCGAGGGGGTTGTTTGTCTTTCGACGTGGGTGTCGTCTTGATGGGCGCGGGACGCTCTGTGGTCTTAACAGTTGTCGATGGCCGTTGATGGACAACATGTTGCCGCCGGCGAAACGTGATCAAGAGCGGTCGGATGCCATTCGTGACGGCGCGCTTGAAGCCTTCAATACCAATTTTTGCGATCGGTTCGCCATTTACCGCTACAATCATGTCCCCGATCGCGACTTTGCCACTTCGTAGCGCTTGGCCTTGGTCGCCGGCGGCAAAAGACGAAACAGTGATCACATTGTTGTCTTCCTGTTGGATAATAATGCCCAACGGTCCCGCCACAAAGCTCACGATGGTGTCCTGGTCGGACATAGATGGCTCCCTCGAGAACTGGGTCGGGGGACGAGCGGATTGAGGCACCTGTTGAGTTGGCGGCCCGCATGTCGCGCCTGGCTGTGTCGACGTGCTTTTGGACGATCCATCGGCGGCATGACTGCCAACAGCGGCTGATGGCGGCCAAACGATCTTATGTTTCTTCATCATCTTTTCGAAATGACCACAAAGAGTGTGCAGTTTCCACAGTTCTTGTGTTAGTGACGGGGGAAGAGGTTGAATGGGATGCTGCGGGAGATTCGACGTGGACGGTTGGTTCAACATGGCAAACAACGGCCGGTAGGTCGGATACGTAGCTGGCTCGGCAAGGTACTTGGACGAGTTAAAGAACGATTCGATCGACGCGGCCGCTGCATTCAGTTCTTGGGAAAGCAGTCCCGACGCCAACAACGTTGGCAACTTGGCGGCCAATTCCATGCAGTACGATATAACCTGTTGGTGCAACGTCGGCGTCAGCACGGCTTCAATGGCCCAGAGCAAGTTGTCCCCGCACGTGTGCATGAGCTGCAGGTCTGTAAGCGTCATGGGGGTTGCCTTGGCCAATGCCTCACTAATTACGATGCATAGCAAGCAAAGTACAACGGCGTGGTGGACAGTCACAAAGGTCGTGGGGGTCACGACTTCCAACGGGTGTTTGGCCACGTGAGTTGCCACGTGGGTCAGGGTGTTGAGCGTTGATTGTAGTGCGATTGTAAAATGCGCACAGCTCTGGGCGTTTTGGCTGGATTGTACACTACCCCACGCTTGTTTGATCGAGTTCTTCAAGTCGCGGAGCCGATGAAAGTGGATATCCAACGGAGCATGCGTCGTGCCAGAGGTGGGGGGCTGACTGGTCGTGAGGCCGACAGGGTAGGTCATGTAATCAACAACTTTATCGTCGGAGAATGGCCGCTTCTTTGACCCAGCAGCGTTGGCGTATCCTCTCTGCAGCTGGGCCGGTGCCGAGTAGTTGTTTGGGAGATGAGGGGGGTAGCCCATGGCCCCAGCGTTGGACAGCGTTGGACGCTTGGGTCGATGAGCACGAACGTTGTACTTGACCAAGTCTTTCATTTCCTGAGTCAAAGTCGACTCGGTAGGTAAGGTGAACGGCGAAGATGTCGTGTGCGGCGGGCGACGTAGCTGAAAGCGCTTTAAAAAGTCATCGGCTTTCAGCAACGGCAGCGGGATGCGCGGAAACGTCGTCATCGAATATGGCGCGAGCAGCATTTTCGTCGTGGCATAGCGTTGTCGACACTGCTCGTACGCAACTTGGCCCTCGGCGGCCGAAAAAAACGTCCCAAGGTAGTACTGCCTTCCATGCAACATGACAAATGCTTCGTGCTGGTTAGACGGTGTGACAGCATATTGCGGTCGCATCGAGAAGGGACCCGTCGTTGGGGTCGAGGGTTGCGCGAGATATGCCGAGTGGAGTTCGTTGGCGACGTCATTCGATGGCTCCGAAGCAACTACGTCGGCAACCTTGCAGGTGTATGGTCAGTAAACAGTAGTTGAGCAGTAGCTTGGTAGATACCTGTGTTGTAGCAAACCACGCGTTGTCCTCGAGCTTATAGAGAACGTTGGGATCGCCGTGGAATTTCATATACGGCCCTATTGGCCTCGATCGCGGGGCGACCGTTCGCAAAAACACTTCCAGGTCCCGTGCTTTCGTCCACCGTCGCTGCAACTCTGTCCCGTCGTCAACTTTGTTGTTCCAGAGCATTGCGCACAGTGGATGAACGACAATCGAAACGTCAGGCTGGGGCGGCCCTGCCACCGTCACAAGGACATGATCGTATACCGGAAGCACTTGAAGCGATTCCTTGAGCCACTGGAGCGTCATACCGGCGATTGCGATGCCGTTGATGTGGGTGAGGATATCTCCCATGTGAATACGACGAGTCGCGGGAGCGTGGTTGGCTGCAAAACCGCTACAGATCAATCGGCTGTGGCAGTCGAGCCACGTGATGGCGAGAACATCGCCGACGGTGAGTTGAATGCCATCCTTGATGGACGCCACGTGCAGGGGCATGCTTGGTCGGTAAAATCGAAATGAAACGGGCCGGGGAATCGAACGCACTGTGTCGGTGAACTCGGTCAGATCTTGCAGCAACCCAACTGGCTTTTCGTTGATGGCCAAGATGATATCGCCCGATTGGACAGTGTTGGTCGCTTGGCTGACTGCTGTCAACGACCGCACGACCACGAGATTCGCATCCAGTTCCAGTGCCAACCCCAATGGACCTGCTTGAAATGTCATCGTATATGACTTTTGACGCCAAAGAGAGGTTTGGACCTCGGCCGGGGAACTTGCCGCAGCATTCGGCGGCGAACCAGTGCTGGGTCCGCGATTGAACGCATGCCGAAATATGCACACTATCGCGCTGGGTTGCCATAATTTGTGCAACGTTTCAACGCTTGTCACCAGGGTGCCGTTGATGGCATGGATGACGTCGTACGGGAAGATCAATCCACTCAGGACCGCAAATCCCGTGGAAGGAAAGGCTACTTGGCACAGCGAGTCCGAGATCATAGCGACGTTCGGACACTCAACGGGTGTTGACGTCGGCAGTTGGATTGTTGCAAACTGCGCAGGGTCAACTGTAGCTGTGGGATTTGCCGTCAAGACCACGAGCGGCCTAGGAAGACTCGCCATGAGTGCGTCCATGTGGCTGATGAGAGCGGCCGAGTCTTCGTCATCGCTTCGGTCCGTGTCCAACACTACGGTTGAGTTCAATGCCAGCACAATGTCGCCTTCGTTAAGCGAACACGACTCGTGCACGATACCGACGGTAACCTGTCCACTGTCGTTCACATCAAACGAAAACGCGGCAGCTTCCAATGTCCACTTGCAAAGGGACAAGACCTCTTGCGCAATGGAAGGTGGTTCACCCAGGTTGCATCCGATTTGGCGGGTCACTGGGGCCAACATTGCGGGCACAACTTCGCCGAGGGCATTGTCGGCGTCGGTGAGGCCACAACAGTAGCATGTGCCTTGAGACAAAGGTTCCATTCTGGATTGAACTGATGAAATCCGAGTGGCCAGGTGAATATCTCCGTATTCTTCAAATAACGAGGCTTCGCCATCGCTTTCGTCGTCGGTGTCGCAATCGGCGTTGCATGCATCCTTGGCATGACGGAATGTGGTGGTGTCGTCTGATTTGGTTAGATCTGTCGTTGTGTTGTCCTCGCCTGTCGTGTCAGCGGTGGATCGATTTGCTGGTGGTTGCGACAGCAATTCTTCGGCATCGTCAAAAAATGGCGGCGGCAGCGACCGATTTTCGAGTTTGGCCAGACTGTATTCTCGCAAGTATACCAATAAGGCATCCGTGAGGGGGCATTGAATTCCGTTCAGGATGATGCTGTCCCTCGGATTAGCGACCTCTTTAGTGTCGTCGTCGACGTCGCTAGTTTCGTCGTCAGCATAGCCAAAGCGTTCCCACTCGCGAAGGACGTCCGCATACGAACACCCCAGGTCGGTGCGCTGGTCTTCCGCCAAGTCTTCCAGCAAATGCACGACACTACAATCGAAGTTAGACAGATCAAAGCCCAAGAAGGGGTTACCTTTGAACGCTTGAGCTTGTCTGAACCAGTTCGCAAAGCCCTTTCAGCACTTGCACGCGCTCCGCCACGTTCTAGACAAAGAACTTGTTCAAAATATTCTCAAGTCGTACATGTCGTACCAATTCCATGTAGCATTCTTTGGACAAGAGTTGAATGAGGTGGGGAAAGTTGGTGTCGTCATCGCCGCCATCGTTGTCTTCCATCGCGTCGTCGTCGTCTTTGGTACCGATCTCGCCGTCATCGCCAAGCAGCTTGTCCGCAGCGACCATTGGTTTGCACGTGGGGCAGTACCATTCGCCGAGGGGAATGTCCGATAATGGCGGGCGCAAGCAGAGCGTGTGGTACGCTCCATCGCACCGGTCACAGAGCAGCAGGCGGTCTTTGCATAGGTGAGCATTCCGACACACTCGGCACGCGTCCTCGTTCGTGAAGAGCAGGTTCAAGTTGTTATCTGGTGGCTGAATGTACTCTCGCACAAGTCGATCAAACGTAGCCGACAGCTTACGCGCCATCGCGGCAATCGGTGCCACATGGCCATTGTACGCAAAACAGTTCTTCCAAATCAACTGCACGTCGTCCACAAACAACTCAATTCCGTCGTACTCGTCGCCGAGAAGTTTGTCTTCGACCGTGCTCAAGTCCATCGGTTCCGGAATCAACGTGTAGTAGTCCGGATACATGTCGGCATCCACGGGCAAGTTGAACGGCACAGCTGCATCTTTTCCTGGGATCAAAGAAAATTTGAACAAAAAGTGAAGACAGCACAGGCTCGAAATATCAAAACAAGAGCGAAAACACCACCAAGTCAACATCCAAGTGTCTGCTTCGAATGCTCCAACAATACTTCGAAGGGGAAAATGGGCTCCAAGCACGGAGGAAGGTATCCCTAGCAGAAAATTCCACTCTTGGCAATCCACGCTTTCCACAAGTGCCCTCATTAGATCCCTTACTTCGACATCGGACATGAAGCACTCAAAAATACGGAACATCCCATGCCAATAGTATGATAAGCAAGTCGCATGCATCGTCCAGTCGAATTGATGACGAAGTCACCATTTTTCCCGCCCATTAGATTGTACATACCTCGCAATATTTTGAGGACGTTGGCACACCTTGTCATGACGGGTGGAACGCCTGGTTGCTTAGCCTTGGTTTGGCTACCAGAATCCACCGCCCCTCGACTAAAAATAAGGCCGATTGGACTTGCGATGGGCTGTTCAATGAGTGTCTGGAATGCGTCGGGGTCCAACAATCCAACCTGAATGCACCATGAAATCGTTTCAGGGACATCCCTATGCACAGCGTAAGGAACGTACATCGACGCCGTTGACACATCGCAGGACATCGCCAACTTCGACATGAGTTTTAATCGTGTGATGGGCATCGTCCAGGATTTGCACGACCGCGTTGAGACGATGGTTGTCTTTGACGTCTTTCGACAGGATCAATCCAAGTCGATCCCAGTTCACAACGTCGTGAACGAGTACGCCAACCTCAGGTACCTTGGGCTCGGCGGTCGTTGGGGTAGCAGCTTCGATGGAGGTCGTGTCGTCCGTTTTGTCATGGAGCACAAATTTGCCTCTTGCAGTCATGGATTCCCGTAGCGGCCCCACGACTGATTCGGTTGAAGTCTTTGTGCCTTTGACCAGCTTGATCGCGTGGCCGTCCACGTCACCTTTTTCAACGTCCCAGGCCACCATGAACATTTGCCGCGCGACTTCTGGCCACGTCAACAAGTTCAACGGCCGCATCGCTTTAAACTCGGTTACGGTGAGCTGCAAATACGGGGTAAACTCGATGAGCAGCGCGTCTAAGAGAAGCACGTGGAGCGTCGCGAGGAGGCGGCCATGGCTCGTTTCATCCACGACAGAGTCGCCTTGCGGCGCCGATTTGTCGTGCAGCGTCAGCGCATGGCAGAATATCGAGAGCGGGATGACAGTGCGAATGCGCAAGATGTCCGCATACTGAAATAAAAAGTCCCAACACCACAGCACGTCGCGTTGAAGGTCGGGCGTGCCAAACGGGACCAACGCAGTGACGGGAGTCCATGTCGGCGCCGCATGGGTGGATGAAGGTCCGAGGCGCAGAGGCGATGATGAGACAGGGGACCAACTCTCCAGCTCGGAACGAATCCGTTGAACGATCGCTCGTTTTGCTGCATCCTGCATCTTTCGCTTGTGAATTGCGTGCCGAATCTGTTGCTCATTTGTGACGTATTCAAGTAAGGCTGCGAGAGAACCAGGTTTGGAGGTTCCATGTCTAGTCTTGCGAGTGGTGGTGGTGGCTGTTGGGGATGAGGCAAGCGGGTCAATCCAGTCGTCGAGAACCCAAGACTGCCCCACACTCCATTTGGCATTGCTGGTTGTAGTTATTGTGATCGACTGTTGAGGCTTGGCATTTGGGACAGATGAGTCTGTCGTGCCTCCGTCGATCCCAGTGGCATTGCGAAGTTGCTGCCGTCGTCGTCGCAGCTCGTCGATTTTCTTCTGCACCGATGGTTTCACTGGCGGAGGGTTTGGGGTGGTGTTTTTTTGGCCCGCACCAGTTTTTGAAGCTTCTTCAGTGGGCGCAGGAGGTGTGGAAGCGTTTGTAGATGCCAAGGGACCATTGGATGAATCAACGGTATCCTTGTCGGCTCGGTCACGTCGTTGGAGCTGAGTGTTCAACTTGGCGAGCGTAATCTGCAGCTGCTTAATCGACGCGCCGTGGCGTTCGTCCCATAGCTGGTACCCTGCACACTTCAAAACGTTGTCCAGACCGTCTAACAAGCTACGGCAAATACCCCGCCGTAGCAGACCAAATCCGTCTTCGTCCGGACCAACTTCCGCGGCGCTTTCACTGGTAGAGTTGTTCGAGCACCTCCACTTGGTCTTAGACTCCTCAGAAGCACATTCGAGAAACGCCATGGCTTTCTTCCACGCTTTCAGAGGAGACTTATCACGAAATGACCTTTCCTCTGCGGCGTTCTCGATCGAGACAGAAAACACGGGGCCTGCTTTGCCGCTGTCGATGCGACACTTCCACGCAATTCCCTGCGCGATCGCACGTGTGATGTAGCCAACTGGAAAAAGCTTCTTGGACGTCCAATACTGGTCATTGTCAAACACGATTGAGCCCACGGACACAACGGTGATCGAACCATCCACGTGAGGGAGAGAAAACAAACGGCGTCGCTGCACGGCCACCGCGTACGCCATTTCTCGAAGTAGTACTTTTGCACTCCCGACGTTGGGTGGCGAGGTCGCAACACTCGAGGAGGAATGGTTGTCCGAGTTCTTGAAAGCAATTGATGTCGTGGGATTCATGTCACAAGTCGAGGAATCGTTGTTGAGGTCCGACGATGTCGTCGGCTCGTCGTTGGTTGTATCGGAGGGTTGTTGAAACGTCGCAGTCGACGAGTCCTCGCTGGAAGTTGCTGGCCACGCAGACGGCATTTGCACATCGCTGGACGCACTACCTAAGGTCGGCGTTCGATCTGCAGCATGCGGTTCGTCTTGTGAATGTCGGTCAAGGTCGTGTCGCCTGTCCACAGTGGCAAACGCCGTTGTCGTCACTGCGTCGCGGTTGCCATCGACGGGTTGAACTTCCTCGTCCTCCCCAATCTGCTCAACATCTTCATTGATCGCGCGCAGAGCGGCATCCGTGGTTCCTCGCGATGGTGTCTTGGAGGATTCCATCGCGCGCGCGGTTCGTTCGATGGGTCCACGCCGTTGGTGTTTGTTCGAATTGAATGCAACGAAATGGGCTTGTAACGAGGTGACCTCGTTACAAGAACACTCGAGTGCGATTGGCGGGTCGACCTGCCGCCACTACTCCCACTACCGGTTTTACTCGAGTTTTTTTGCATGTTCCATGTTTAATTGGCCAGATCCTTCATTTCTTTTATTAAAACGTCACGTAAAAATAATCGCACTTGCGTCCTCTTAACATCATGACAACGCTTCGCCCTAGCGATGGGCCCATGAATGCACAAGTCCCTGGTTCTGCATCCGACATGGAGCTTTGGCGCCTCAACTTGGCCCCGATGGCCTTGGCAGGCTCGTCATGCTTCAGCCATCAAACAATATGAATTCCAATTTGACGACGAGTCTTGACGAGTAATCGCATTCTTCTTCGACATGCATGACTCGTGGACGCTGCCTGGTAGTGGCAATTATAAGCGAAAGTACGACCTTGGGCCCCAGAAGTCAACAATCGAGTCATGTAGTTACGTACGGCTTCGGCCGACACACTAATCAGTACTAGTTGATTTGCTAAAATATAGTAACGTTACGTGTTATGCTGAACAAAAAGCAATGGTAACCCATGAATCAAGTACACCACGTACATACCATACATAAATCCTACCTAAGCCATCCATTCGCCTCCTCATGCATGCAACTTATCGTTCGTTGCCTAAGCGAGGCATTCGGCAGAAAACAAGCAGAGCTCATCCGGATGACGTCCCGACAGGGATACAAAGTTAGTAGTCCGGTTAGTATTACTAATCGGGATTCCGGATAGTTGGGGGTCGCGCGGATAAGTCAAACGTGGAAGGATTTGGAGTCATGCGAAAGCTGCGGTTCCAGGTGATTGCGTGCACCGGTGAAGATGCCGCGGGTCCAGCCTCGCTTCTGAACGAACATGATAGCACAGGGACTGGCTACTTGACTCCAAAGTAGGTCCATGTCTACACATCATCCCGTGTTGACATAGGCGACAGGAACTGCGAGTACCCACAAGAACTAGTGATGCAACTGGAAGGGACGTGCCGCCTCACGCAGATCCAGGTGTTGTCGCACCAAAGCTATATTGCCACCAAAATCGAGTTGTACTTGTCCATGGACAATATCACGTACACGCGCCTCGGCTTTCTGAGTTTAAAATCCAACAAGGAGAGTCAGTACACAGCGCGTGAACTCAAGACCGTCCACATCGACTCGACGACGCGATTTGTCAAGTTCAAACTGCATCAGTGCTACATCAATGAAAAGAATTTGTACAGTCAAGTGGGGATTGTCGCGATCAACCTCAACGGCGAGATCGTCGACGAGCCAAGCTTCTTACCCGATGAAATCGAACTCGGCGGCGCTTTACCCTCCACACCCGTCAAGCCCATGCAAGCTGTTCGTACATCGGCCAGCATGACTCCCACGAAGGCAACAATGTCGTCAGCGAAACCACCGTCCGCGGAAGACCCCGCGGCGGATCTCCGATTTGACGCCAAGACGGCAACAAAAATAAAAGAAATCCATGCAGCTAAAGAAAAGGCCGTTGCGATGGAAGACTATGACCAGGTTCGCAACAACTTGATTTTCATCCCTGCGATATGGGTATTTTCTGTTGAACTCGGACGCTGTATTCGTGTGTTGCTCTTGAATCCACTGTTTCGTACAGCACTCGATTACCAAATTCTTTCAGGCGAAACGGTTGAAGATTTTGGAGCAGCAACTCATGAACATTGGGCTTCAACTTGCGCGGTTGGAAACTGCGAAGCGAGACGCTGTCGCGAACGAAGACTACGATGCAGCCAAACGTATCAAGGACGAAATTCTCGAATTAGAGGCATCAATTGGTCTGCCCACGCCATCGTCGACATCTCCTGCAACCGGGCGATCAAGTCACGGCTATGACGCCCCTCTAGCCACTACTCGGCAAAACAACCCCACACCACCGCAAAGTTCTGGCTCGTACAACACAACGTCCCCACCACCCGCCGCGATACCTTCGGTGCCCAAACAACGCATGCAGCAGCAGTACGACCAACCAACGTCATATGAAGATGCAATGGAACGACCCTTGGCCGCTGCGGCGAAACCTACGCAGCTCAAGCAACAACAAAGCAGCGCAAGCTTCTCGACGCCCCCAGACGACGACCTCAACGATGATGGCTCCGTTGCTCCAGCGCCTGTACGCAAACAAAAAGTTACGGCTCAAAATGCTCCCGCTGGTGGGGCAAACCCGCACTTTGAAGGTACATCAGGTTATTGTTTGGGCCTTGTAAGATTCGATGCTTGTGGGCTGGTTCTACTCGTTCACGTATCGCCTGGATTTTTATTCCTAGCGGGATATATCGTGTTTAGTTTTGGTTGTTTCCTGACATTGACATAATATGGGGACGGGTTTCGGTTGATTCTTGGCCAATTGAACAAAATTGTTTGTTTAAACGTTGAGCTTGGCACAATTCGAATCAAGTCCTCTCAATCAAACGTATTCGGCGACTCAATTTTATCTCTACGGGCGAGGTCTCACGTTTAACTGACGAATAGGTCTACCCGATTGTGCTGAGATGGCCGATCCCGAGGCCTTGCCAGACTCGTTGCTGAAAGAAAGTGCAGAAATGGTGTCGGTGATTGGCGAGTACTTAACCACGTGCTTTTACAGCAACGTGTGGAACCACCGAGACGCGGCGATGCGAAAAGTCACGTTGGATTTGAGCAACTCAGATTTCACAGACAGCCATGACCCGCATGTTGTCCTGTCGGTGGTATCCACAATGGTTCAAAGTGGCGTGAGTGATCGCATTGCCCAAGTATCGTTGACTGCTGTAACTATGTGTGACGCCATGTTGCGGTTTGCCGAGGGTCATGCGCTCGACCCCAACGCAGTTGTCCGAGTGGTACGTTTAGCGTGATTCTTGTCGTTTGACATGCTAATGCGTCGTAATTCGTGCGGGACTTCAAAAAGCGATCTATGTCAAAAGGATTGAAGTTGCTTGCAATGTACTCATCATCTCCTATGCGATCCAACCCCTTGATATTTATGATGGGACAAGTTTATCCATTGCTCTCGAGTGACCTTTACACGTTAATCTTGATGACTCTGTCTTGTGGTTGTATGCATCAAACCACATCGTGGAATATATCAACTGAATTCTTCACCTAACCGTTGTTTCTATCGACCCTGACGTCCTGCTATTTAAATGCCGATGGATTATGGATGTGCTTGAATTGTTGCTCGTGTTTGTCCACGTATTCTCACTTGGTCTGAATTGTTTGACGTGGACGTGATAATTAATTGTAGATCGTATTGAATTTATAAAGTTCTTGCTGAAGCGCATATCCTGCGACTCATTGTGCACGTTAGCTGAACAATCCGTTGGTGCAACTCGTCAACAAACTTGGCGAGTCCCAAGCGAAGATTCGAGATGAAGTTACTGCATCGTTGCTCCAGGTACGCTGAACGCTGCTTGTCTTGTCGTCATCATTACCTTGACCGAGTTGTTGTAGTTGGCTGGGTCCGACTTGGTGGGACCTTCTGTCGTGGCGACGCACTTGTTTCGTCGAGCGTCCAAGAAGGCGTTGCCGCTGAAGGCACTGCAAGGCCGACTTGGCGTCGTCAAAGCGTTGTTGACACAATTTGGACTCGTTCCAGACTTTACGTTGGAGGTACAGGCACCCTTCATCGTTAAATTCATCATCTAACGTGGGATAGACCGTGATGGGATTCCTAGAGGAAAACGCTGCGTTTGCTCACCAAAGCAAAGAAATCCGTGACTTGGCTAAAGCGATTTCTGTTGCCATCTATCAAGTACGTATCGTGCAAACGATGTGCTAATCTGTCCATGCTTCACCACGCCACTATTGTGGAAATTCATCGCGCCAAACCCTCCGTTTTGTTTCATTTCTCACTTCAACTGACTGCCCTTGCCGTTTTGCTAGATTGTGGGGCCCGAAATCGACCCGTTTTTGAAGACGCTGCGGCCAAAGCAAATGGAAGAGTACCAAGCGGCATTTGAAACCCCCGAAGCCAAGCCTTTGTCCGTGAAAAAGGACAAAAAAGCTGCTGCCGCCCCGCTTCCGAATGCCCGTCATCGAGGGGCGCAGCACACTGCACCACCACAACTTAACGCCGACGGCGGACATGAATCGGACGATTCCAACGCGTCCGTCGCCGAGTTTACGTGTCCGTTCTGCGACCGTCACGACGATGCTTTTGACACGGATCGACTGGACCAGCATTTTTGGGCCGAGTGTCCGATGCTGACGCAATGCAAAATGTGCAGCCAAGTGATTGAAATCAGCACGTTGAACGAGCATTTGCTCGTGGAATGCGAGCAAAAGGTACGCTGCTGAACTTGAAGGTCTCAGTATTGAGAATGAAGAACCGTTCTAGCACAACCACAAGGAGTGCCCGCGGTGTGGAGAAGCGATTACAGCCAGGTTTTACGAGAAACACACGAGCATGAACGACTGCGACCCGATGCCAGCGCCTGCTCAAGGCAATCGGTACGTTGGATGTTGACATCTTCGATCGTTTTCAATGTATTCATGCAATAATATTTATTTGCTCACGTAGGTGCCCCCTGTGTCACGACGACATTGGGCCTCGCAAACGCGGGTGGAAAGCGCATTTACTATCGAACAAGTGTCCCAGCAATCCGCGCAATTCGTAACCAGCTCCATCAATAAAACGACAACCATTGCTCGCGCACTAGCGCTACGCTGCTCACGACTCAAGTGAAACATCTCTCACGAGCTCGATCCAATGCACTGGACGACGTCGGCTGCCGACGGGGGCGCCGCGACAAAGACAGACGCCGGATTGCGACGACACTCGTGAAACCACGTTTTTCAAAGAAGTGCGTGCCACGCCAGAGGTTTAAGAGATGAGAGGAGTTGGCATGTCAACCGGAACGTCGTGGGAAGGGCATGTTCTATGTAAGGCGCGTGGTTCGCTGTGTCGCCGGCGCGTCGTGGTGTGTCACAAACCACTTCAAAATTCGTGAGTCACTGCGTCGTTCGGTCTCGAACGAGAGCATCGTAGCGTCAACTCGTCGTCAGTGCCTCTATCGCACAACCCACGTGACGTGTACGGCAGTAAATTCCTAGTGTTGAGCACTCGATCCACAGGCGACCGCCTGGCGTCCTCGTAAAGATTCGTCCGTCGGTGTGAGATTTTTGTGGTCAGCTCTTGCCAATCCAACTCATGCGGTCTGTCGCATGCCACTCGTCACATGGGTCCAACTTTCGACAAAATGGTGTGAATATTTCATGAAATTGAGGGCATTTTCACGAATTTTCTCGCAATCGTGGCGAAACGTGGAAAAATGAGCCGGCGTCGACAACCCGCATCCACATCACCAGGGTGTGGCGTGCGACGAGGACGATGGATGGTGGCCGCACTTTCGAATTCGACGGGATGGGGCTATTCGACAAGCATTCGATGCACGGGCTCGAGCCACGCTGGTTGCGCCAAAGCTACGAACCCGAGTTGACGCATATCAAGAACGTCCTCAAGGGCCACGACACTCGAAAGAACCTGGTGTCCCTCGCCTTCCACAAACGCGTGAAACCCCCCGTGACGCCGCCCGAAATGTTACACCATCGACTGGAAATGGTTGCTGGCAAGAAGGTGCCGTTCACGGTCGCGTTGGCGACGCGTGGCTGGCCGCGGATGGCGCGTCTGGGAGTGATTCCTGAAGGCGATAGCGGCTCGCCCACGCGCCGCGACGTAGCCAGAAGCCATCGACGACGGGAACCCAGGATGGTCCGAGTCGGCAGAAGTATTAAACTCATTCCGTGACCTTCGCCTGACACCTGAACACCACATCACACCGTCGGCGACACGAGCGTGTCCTCGAAGAGGGGCCGTGGCGATGGCATCAGCCCTGCCACCCGCTAGCAACATGAAGACTAAGCAGTGCCTGCCGGTACAAATGAACAGAGATAACGTTGGATTGTTTAACGAGACGAGTTTCATTCTCGCGTGGTCGGCAGACAGGAGCAAAGCAATTTGTAGTGCATGCGAACAAACCCACAACAATGTGTGGCTCGTTGAGACGCTGGAATCGATCCGTGGCACAAGAGCTGCGCCATCCGGGGATGTCCCGTTCCATACGGCCCCAGTACATGCCTCTTGTTCACATCACGGGTGCGGGGACGTGCCAACAAGTGTCTCACGGCAACAAAATGACGTATGAGGCAAGAGATATCTATCCTTACGCTTGTACAGATACTTGCTTGAAGAAAGCCCCAAAAAACTCTTGGGGGGATTTCGTCGTCGATGGTTTCGCCCGCGATTCAACCGTCACGGTGGTCGCCACGAACGGCGTGGCTTCCAACTCGACGATTTTCGCCTTGGCATCCGCGATTTGTTGTGCGACCAAGTCGTCGAGCACGCTTTCCATGTGCCGGTCGTACGCAGCGTCAAAAAAGACTACGCGCGATCGTTTCTGGCCTTCATGCAACGCAACATACGACGTCACGGTCCGCTCCACGAGCTGCGATGGGGTCAGGATCGGAAAGTACGCGACGAGTTTGCCCACGTTCAGCGTCGAGTTCTTGTACACGTCGTTCTTGACCGACTCGAACGAGTTGACGAGCATGCGATCCGTGATGGTTGGCCGCGATCGGAACGCGAGTGCGTAGTTGGAACCTTCGCCGGCCACGATGAACCCGTCAAAATTGCCGTAGAGGAGGCACCGAATATTGTGGTGGATGATGGCGCCCGCGTGCAACTCGGACGCGCCGTCGCTGTTGGTGTACTCGTCAAAGCATCCCGCCGTGGCGCTCACGGCATCGTCCAAGTCGCCGTCGTCGAACGGTGTGCGCTTCTTCAGCGCCTGCACCAACACTTTGCAACCCTTCACGTTCCGGACGACAAGGTTGAGCTTGGGCAAGTCGACCACTTCGACCTCGCCAAACGCGAAATTGCGCGTGCGAACTTTGGTCGTATCGAGAGACGGCATGATCACGTCAAACCCTCGGTCAAAGTACTTGATCACGCGGTCAACGTACGCCGAGTTTGAGCGCGACCCGTCCACAACAAAGCAGAGATTTTCAAACGCAAACTTGGACAGCGGCGAAAACCACACGTTGTTGTGGTAGTACGCGACACCGGTGCACGCAATGTCGACTTGCCGCAGCAGGTCGGCGAGAGACACATGCGGCGTCGACACCAACTGAATCGTCAGCGTGCTGCGGTAGTCATGTCGCTGGCGCAACACCGGCACGGTCACCGTGAACACATTCAACACGCGGCGCACTCGGAACTGGTCCAGGTTGTAGAGTTTGCTGGCGTCGATGGAGAAGTCGGGCTTGGTTTTCTGCTTCTCTTCCTCGACCAATTTGAGCGCTACGTTGTGACCAGACATGAACTCGTAGATGTCCCGTATGAATCGCTTGATCCGATCGTCGGTAAATGCTTTCGCCGCCTCGGGGGACATGCACGGATCGTCCAGCACGACAAACAAATCCAGGTCTTTCGTCGAAAAGTCCGTCGTGAGAAGACTCAAGACAGCCCCGCCCATTGCGGCCAACTTGTCGAGCGAGATCGCTTTCAACACGGGATACGTTTCAAAGAACGCCTTCTTGAACGCGTCCGAGTCGGACCACGGCTTGCGCTCCGTGAAGCGCTTGTCCTGCGTCAGCGTCGGCAGCGAGTAATCCCAGTTCCGTACAGCCGACACGTCGGCCAACGTAAACACGTCCGTCGTCGTGCCGGCATTGGCCACAAGGGCAACGAGGTTCTGTTCCATGGCGCACGTTGTCGAGGGAATTGGCAAGTGCTGACTTGTCTACGCAGCTAAACGAGAGAATGTCGCACCGCTTGATCTCTCTGGCCAAGTCGACGACGCAGCAGTCCCATAGTGGATTTTTTCATCGAGACAAGTGGTCATTGCATTGACTTCGAAGAAAACCTGTATAAATTGATGTCATCTACCGTCGTTGATTTCTCCATTGGGACGATCCACGAAGTTGAGAAAAACATGAGCAAAT